GCCCCGCGCCCCACGGCCCACACTCCCGCCCCCGCCAACACTCAACCCCGCCCCCGCCGGCTGTTGGTCCCGCCCCCAGCCCCGCACCAGCAGCTACCCCGGTTCCAGGAGAGGTGGGTGTGGCCCCGGGGGGTGTCCGGGGTGCGGCATAAAACCCTATTTTTGGGGTTTAGCCCATGTGGTGCGCGCTCTCGCTGCGCACCCCCCACTATTTTTTATTTTTTTTTTTTGATTTTTTTTTTTTTGGGGGGGGGTCCGGAGCCGGGGTTGGGGTTGCCCACCCCCGGACCCCCGCCGGGGCCCCGGGGCCGGGGCTCGACAACCCTGAACAAGGCTAACAAACACAGACGTGACGTGTCATTCAAAGTAGGGGACAAAGTCTGGCTTTCTGCCAAACGCTTTGAACCCGAACAAGGCTTGTCCAAGAAACTCTCGAACAAGTGGCTCGGTCCCTTCCCCATCATTAAACAAACCTCTCCGTGAATTACAAACTTCAGCTTCCACCTGACATGCGTCGCGTCCACCCTGTCTTCCACGTAGAATACCTCAAGGAATACCACGAATCCCTGCCCCAGTTCGCAGACTGCCCTTATCCTAGACCTCCACCAATCATGTTTCCAAGTCGAATCAATCATAGGACGAAGAACAACTCAAGTATCAGATCACCCGGAACCAATCACCGAATACAAAGTAAAATGGACCGGATACCCTGATGAAGAATCAACATCGGAACCCCTTGATAATCTCAAGAATGCCATGAAACTTGTTTGTGCCTATGATCGTGCCTACCCTGTATCCTAACTATACCCCTGCATAAACCCTAAACCCTCGCTTAAAACCCTGCTACAACCTTGCAACCCTGCTTTACACACACGCTTGAACCCAGCCCACCCTCCCCTCGACCCTGATTCCTGATGTCTGATCTGCCCTTGCCCTCGCCTAGCCTTGTCCCATCTGTCCTCTCCACTACCTTGTCTCTCTTGTCCAATGCTTGTGGACCTGCGTGACGCCGGCGATAAAGGATCTAATGGCAAACGCACGAGGACGATGGCCTGCTGCCTCACTGATCATGGAGATTATGCAGATGGTTTAGCCACCATGCTGTTTCATCGGCCGGCATCCCGACTCGCGGACTTACTGGAGCAGCAACCTGTGACATGGATCCTTGCATCAGTCTGCGACTTCCTTGCTTCTAGATCAGACCTCATTGCAGTTCGTGTACCAGACGCACCCTAGCACTTGGACTTTGGACATGTGAACCACTGCTACGCTTCTTGGACTTCTACCTGTCGCAGCCGCTGAAGACCGCTTCTACCACCTACTCCAAGACCTGATCAAGACCGCTGCAGATCCCCTTTCAAGACACTTGGACACTTTGTTCCTACATGAGACTTTGCTTCCCACTCCTTCGGACATACCAGCCCTTGCATCCTGAACAAACACTTTCATTTTTCCTGAAAACCCTGTAGAAGATCATTAGAAAATCCCTGTTCCCCTAACCATTGTTTCCCTTACCCACTAGAACATCAATAGAAATTCCCTGTTTCCCTGACCATTGTTCCCCTTACCCACTAGAACATCAATAGAAATTCCCTGTTTCCCTGACCATTGTTCCCCTTAGCCACTAGAACATCAATACCCAGTAGAACATCAATAGAAATCCCCTGTTCCCTGAACATTTCTTAGCTTCCCCCTGTAGACCTACCCAGTTACATCATACCTTCACCTGTGCAGAACATCTGACAGAATACCCTGTGACTTGCATCACCCCCCTTCTCCTTTTCCGACAAGTAATTGGCCCCGTCCCGTCCTTCACAGTTCCTTTTTGTTTCCTTAGGTTTTTGGCAGCCGGGACGTTGCCTTTCAGAGGGAGGGGATAGTGTTACGGACTCCGCCAGGGCTCGACCCCTGGTCTACTTTTTGCTGTTTCTGCTGCATCCCGTTTTTGGGCTGGCACCCTTTTTCCAAACCCCTCCTTTGGTACCGTCGGATTTTGGACAACTGGCGCCATGCTGCAATTCGGGCGCCACTTTCAAATGCCGCATTTTTCAGTTCTGCCCTTGGGGCTTCTGCAGAGATGCCCCGGGTACCGTACGTGTCACCGGCACTTATACCGGTTCCCCGTACAGTACGGGCAACGAGTCTCGTACCAGTTTCAGCTGCTGTACTCGTACTCAGTGGGACTTGCTCCTGTTTTTCGACATTCGGAATCCAAGACTTCGACTTTGTGTCCTTGCCACTGTGTCTGCGTCCGACCCTGAGTCGTGTCGAGTGAGTGAGTGTGTGTGTGTGCTCTCACTCTCTCCCTCTCTCTCCCCTCTCCCTCGGCTCTCCCTGTCTCCCTCAGCCTCGCGCTCGTCACACTCACAGTCATCATGCCATCACTGGCCATGAAACGGACATATGATGTCTGGATGCAGAGGATGTGCACAGTCAGGAAAGTGGAAGGGCGTCCCTCTACATGCATGGCTGCAGAAACCCTGGCACTGATAGCGATTCTGGCAGAGACAATGAAGCCTGTGACTGAGAGTTACAGTATTGGTAGCTGTGCAGAGGAGAAGGTTGCCGAGTGTTGACGCATGCCCTGCTCCAGTGCATGGGCAGAGAAGTGATCCTCAACATACAAGAGGGTGCCGAGGGTTCACTGAGGCAAATAAATCGGCATCGTTGCCAGGAAAATCGACCACATCAGTCATGGCACAAACAATGGTGCCGTTGTCCCACAGCTCCCAGTGGTGAGAAGCATTGATAATGGCCTCTTCTTTTTTTTTTTTTTTTTTTTTTTTCTAAGAAACAATCCTGTGGAAGGCCGCTATTTCGATGGTTTGTGAGAGAACCTCCAGAATTGAGGCCTCACCTGTTGGAAGGCTCCAATCTATTGGTGGGGAACAGCACCTGCTGGAAAACGGGTCCAGTGTCCATGTACAATGCAGGCGGAGATGTGGGATGGAGGAGTGAACCACTGACCGGGCCAAGCATGGTGCAGTTCAAGTTAATGGTCACTCGTTGCAACTTATACGACCTCAATCGTCGAAGTTTCCTTCCGTGGTGTAGCGAGTACCATCTACCTCTAGGCGAGGAATATCCACATCAAGCTGAAGTGCAAGGAATATGAGTGAGAGCGATAGACAGAAATCCAAGTTGCAAAATCACGAAGAAGCTCAGATAGTCATGAACAAAGCAGAGAGTGCAATGCACCAAGTTACCGTCCAAATAAGAGCAATCCAACACTGTATCCAATGTTGCACTTACTGTCTAGCGCCCAGCGCCCCGCCTATCCTACTCAGCCTATCTAGCCTATCTACGCTCTTGCAACTTGA